TCTTTCTTTCTTTCATATTAAGAAGGCCTGATGGGTATATCTGAATTTTGCCACTGTCATCCTGAGGTTTCCCTTTCTCTTCATTCAACGTCTTCCGAGCTCAAGCTGCAACCTAAAGCAGTGCACTGTTTGTAGAAATGCCCTACGTTCTTGTGTTTAAGGTGTGTGGGTTTCCTGCCTCTCTGGCATTTGAGAGAAACAGCCCTTTAATACTGGCTCTTGGTGTTAAGCCTAGATGTGAAACCAGCTGCAATTTGGGGATTCCCTGGTGGTAAATCGCTTTTAAACGAACCTGCCTAGAAGGATAGGTTGACAGATGAAGAAAAGTCTTGAGTGGCCCAAATAGAGGCAGTTTGGTCTAGTAGTTGAGGCACCAAACTAGAAATTGGGAAGCCATGGCTTCAAATCCCACCTTAGTCGTGAAAGCCGGCTGGGTGACTTTGGCCCAATAACTAGGAGATTGGGAGTTCTAGTCCCACTTTAGGAATGAAAGGTCGTTGTGGGGAAAATAAGAACAACCAGGAAGAGCAATCAGGATGATTAGGGGACTGGAGACTAAAACATAGGAAGAACCATTGCAGGAACTGGGCCTGGCTAGTCTAGGAAGAGAAGGACCAGGGGAGACATGATAGCGGTCTTCCAATATCTCAGGGGCTGCCACAGAGAGGAGGAGGGGGTCAGGCTATTTTCTAAAGCAACTGAAGGCCAGACAAGGAACAATGGATGGAAACTGAACAAGGAGAGATTCAACCTATAAATAAGGAGAAACTTTCTGACAGTGAGAACAATCAACCAATGGAACAGAAGTTGCCTTTGGAAGTTGTGGGAGCATCACCACTTGAGACCTTCAAGAAGAGATTGGACAGCCATTTGTCAGAAATGGTGTAGGGTCTCCTGCTTGGGCGAGGGGTTGGACTAGATGACCTATAAGGTCCCTTCCATCTCTGATTATTGGTTAAAATAAGAGGAGGAAGAAGTACTGGATATGTTCAGTGCTTTGAGTTATTGATAAAAATAATAATACAAAATTTTATTAAAAAATTTGGGCTGAGTTGGTAGGATTTTGTCCGTTAAGATGGCAATGACATACTCTCTAAATGTATTATATTATACAACATAAGCAGTAAATCGTATTATTTGAACAGAGTGGTATTTGTACAGTATTAACACTCTAGTATTTATATAAGCGAAACTTTAAAATAGTAGTTTATATTGATATTAACTGTGATTTTTCAAAATGTCAGTGGTTTTTCTTTTCTTTTCCCTTTTGTTAATATTGTTATTCATCTTAATGCTTTACGTGGCTTCAATACAGTGATATTTATACAGTGTTAAAGTTCTTAGGATGCTTTGGATTGGGTACCTGGGTAAATTTGCATCCTCATGTGTGTGGCTGCTGCAATGGTCATTAAGTGTGAAAAACAGTCATAAGTCACTTTCTTCCAGTGCTGTGGTAACTCCGAATGGTCGCTAAGCAAACCATTGTAAGTCAAGGACTACCTGCATTTATTTTTGGTGCCTTCAATGATCCTCTACCCTGGCAATCACAAATAATTAGAGTTGGAAGGGACCTTGTAGGTCATCTAGTCCAGGGGTCACCAACCTTTTGGACTTCAGGACCACCAAACTGAACCACGCCTGGCCTTTTCGCCGCGCTGCTCCGGATCCCACACAAGCCTCTTGGCTTCTTTGTCTGCAGACTCTTTCTCCCTCCACCTCACTCTTCCCCCTCCGGAAAAGAAAAAAAAGAAAGAAAGAAATATTCAGGAAATCTCCAGCCCGTCCCATTATAGCTCCTTCTATTTTGATACTTTGAGCTTATCAGCGCTGCCGCTGCTGGTATCGGAAAGTTGCGAGCGGCTCTCACGGCCGAGGGCGCGAGCAGCTCTGAAAATGCGGGGCGTTGGGCGCCCCCTCCCCTAAAAGGCCCTCCCCGCCCCGTTTGGGGAGATAAAGCCCCAAACTGTCTTCTTGGCAAGAATATCGCGGGATAAGGCCAAAGACAGCGCAAGATCGAGCTATCCCTAAGGGGAAAGGGGAGGCAGATTCTGGGTCCTTCTCCCCCTTCCCCACCCAAGACGCATTCACACGTAACGCAGTCTCCCACCCGGATTAAGCCCAGGCAGTGGAACGCCAGAGAGGGCTCCGGCGATCGGGGAGGGGAGTTACACGTGAAAGGATGCCGGCCCAGAGAATCTACAAACTCTCCGAGCCTTTGCCAACTCGGATTTTAAGGGGACTTTTAAAGGGGGCGAGAAAGGGCTTCGCGTGTAGCGGAGGAAAGTGGATCTAACGCGCGTGTTTGTTTGGGAGGCCCGGGGGGAATCGGCGCGCGATGGGCCCGCAGAGGAAGCCCGAAGAAAGAAAGTAGTACCTGGGAATGAAAACAGAAGTCGGGTGCGTTGTAAAAGCACGTGTGAACGAGGTGGTGTCTATTTAGGCTGTTTCCATTCCCTCGCCACCCTTGGGTGTATTTCCTTTTTGGAGTAGGGGGCTCCTGGGTGAAACACCTTGGATATCTTGGGAGTTGTAAGTTCTTCTGGTTTTATAGAGATTTATTTGTTTGTGTGTTTAGTTTCTGTAGCTGCTCGTCTCGGTAAACAAAATATATTATTTTATGTATAATATATATCGGTTATATAATTTGTGTGTGTGTGTTTATCATAGAAACATATTTACGGGGAGAGAGAGAAAGGGAGGGTGGGAGGGAGGGAGAGAGAGAGACAGACAGACATACAGACAGATTATTTTTTTGTACTTTTTCTTTCCAGGGAATGGAAGGGATCAAAGTATTTTTACACGAACGAGAGCTATGGCTCAAATTTCACGATGTGGGAACCGAAATGATTATAACAAAAGCTGGAAGGTAAGATCCAGAGAGACAAAGGGGAGGGAGGAAAAATCCAGAAAAAAACAATATTTGTCTACTGCAGAAAGAGTGAGCGATTATATTGTTTAATGAAATAAGTTATGTTTTAAAAAAACAGTTGATCTGGCATGAGAGTGAACCTGATGCGTTTAAAGATGCATTTTTTT